TAATGTCCTAGGGATATTTAATTTTCCCATTTTGGGTGCTTTCTGTTGGGCATTTACATTTCCTTCTCACTGAGTGTGTATATCCCTAGCTCTGTTTAATGTTCTACTACATAGAAATTTACCCACGTGGACAGAACATGATGTGTTTGTTAAAGACACTGACTTAGGATTTACTAGTCTGTGCTTTCATTCCAGGACCACTAGCTATTACTTCTATGATTTTGGATAAATTTTGTAGCATGTTGGAGTTTAAGTTTTCTTATTTATATAATGGGGAAAACAGTACCTAGTTTATAGTGTCGTTCTGTCTCTTCAAAGAGTTGATGTATGTAAAGACACTTTAAGTGGCAGGCATATAGAAAGCATTTGATAAAAGGTAACTTTTTTATATTATTTATTGGTAAACAGTTAAAAACTCATAGAAGAAGAGAGTAGAGTAGATGGGTGGTTACCAGGGGTTGAGTGGGGAGGGGAAATGGGTATAAATGTTCAATGGATATAAAGTTTCATTTACGCAGGATGAATAAGTTCAAAAGATCCACTGTACAACACAGCACCTATAGTTAACAATACTGTGTTTTACACTGAAAAATTTGAGAGTAAAAAAATGGATAGACTCTTCTAGCAATAATAAAATATTGATAATAACTAACATTTATTATACTTACTATGGGCTGAGAACTACATTCATTCATTTAATACCAACAACAACTCTTTAAGGTAAATTCTATTATTTATTATCTCATTTTTCAGATGAGTAAATGAAGGCACAAAAATTTTGAGTGCCTTACTCAAGAGTGTACTTGCAGCAAGTCGCAGAGGCAGGATGTGGATGCGAATGGTTCATCTGTTCTGTCTCTGCCAGACGCTCTCGGTTTTGACTCCTGCACCCTTGCCTTATGGTATATTAATCTTCTCTCTCTTTTTCCTTCCCAGTGTGTTCTGTACAGCCTTTTCTCATAATACCTGCAATACACTATTGCCTCTAAAAATTTTTTTAAAGTCTGTCTCCCTGTACTAGACAGAAATATGCTTGGGAACAGTGGCCATTTAAAAGTAAGTTTTGTATCTACAGAACTTGGAACGCAGAGATGCTTAATGCTNGTGGCCATTTAAAAGTAAGTTTTGTATCTACAGAACTTGGAACGCAGAGATGCTTAATGCTAACTAACCCTTTGCAGCTGCAACCCTTCTCATTTTTTCTACTCTCTCTCACTATGCCGTTCTCTGTGTGTATGAAAGTATTCTGGTGTGGGTCCTCTTGGTACCTCCAACGTTGACACAGGCAAATTCTGACAACAAATATAGACAAATCATAAATCACACTTAGCACCAGGAATTCCTTCATACTAACTGAAAAGCTGTGGTTTAGATCATCTTCAGGCCTTGTGAGATGGTGTCCCACGTTCTGGAATGTTTTCCTCTCTTCTCCCTCTGCTGCTTCCTAGGACTGAGTGAGGACAAGCAGCCTGTTTTCCAATAAATACACAGACAAGAATCCAAACAGTCTGGCTTCAAATCCAGGGCACTCATATCTTTGTGATCTCTGGCAAGTGACTATCCTCTTTGAGTTTTCTCAGGGATGAGGAAGAGTAATACTGACACCTTCACAGGGTTGTAATAGGCACATGAGATCCTGTGAAGTGCAGAGCACTTTGGCTCACAGACAGCATGTGCTCCGTCAATGTGAAGTACTAGCATCACTATAACCATCATCTTCGTCTTCCCCATCGTCCATGATCACCTTGCCACCTTGAACTGCTGTGGCCTGATCTCAGAGGCATAGATTTCATCTTGCTAATCAAATACCTTTCGTTTTAGAAATGCATTCCATCACAAAGGTTTTGAGTAATGATGCCAGACAAATACTTCCATTCCAAATCTTTGGTGGTTCGATCATTTCCTTCAGGCCAAAGCTATATTATTAAAACTGCTTTATATTTGAATACAAAAT